TATTTGACTTGTAAATTTAGTTCTCTGATAAGCCCAAAACAACTTGTTGAGTTTTAGCTTGTCCAGCTTTTGCTTGCTATAAGAATGGGAGTGACAATTTCTAAGCTCTTTACATGTCTGAGCTGTAACTGGGAATCATAATGATTTTTGAAGATAAGATTACCACAACTTTTTATAACACCTCAGAAAGGTAGTTATTATTCTCTTTATTTTACACATAAACCAGTGGGGCTTTAGTGAAATTGTGTGTCCAAGACCATTTGTGTGTAAGTCTAAATGGTTCTAAATCCTATGCACCTTAGTTTCTTTAAAAATAGCTGAAAATACTATCAATATTTTTATGTGTACAGATGTTTATACATTGAAATATTTCTTGCTTTCAAGTTTGTGCCTACATTTTGAGACCCTCAGAGGCGGCGGGGAGTGGTGAGGTTGAGTAATAGTACAGGGCAAGTTATTATCATTACTTCAGGCAATTATTTTATCAGTGAAAAATTTACCTTTTTCCTCCACTCTGCTCTCCCATTCCCCTTTCCTAGCCTCCACCAGGGACAATCATTGGAAAATCTTCAATAAGTAGCTTATTTTATTTCACTTCATTTTAAAGATCTTATTTTTAGAGCAGTTTTAGGTTCATAGCAAAATTGAGAGGAAGGTACAGAGAATTTCCATCTATCCCCCACATTCCCACACATGCATACATAGCGTCCCAAATTATCAACATCCCCCACCACAGTGGTACATTTGTTACAACTGATGAACCTGCTGGTTAATGTTTATTTTTTACCAAAATAGGCTCTTGCAAAATGTGTCTTGTATTATGTGCATGTGTCTTTAATGTGCATAACTGACATTTTCTTTTCTTTCATTCTTTCTTTTTCTTTCTTTCTTTCTTTTTTTTTTGTAAGACAGGGTCTCGCTTTGTCACCCAGGCTGGAGTGTAGTGGTGCAAACATGGCTCACTGCAGCCTCGACCTCTTTTCTTATTATATATTTCATTCAGGTTATTTATATTTTATTCCTAGCACTGTGCTTTTAAAATACATCTATACTGCTCTGTGTATACGTCGTTGGTTCAGACTACTGCATAGTACTTCAGTTTTATTATTTCTACAGAAATATTACATATTCATTGTAGAACCACTAAGTGCCAAAAAGTGAAAACTAGAAAATAATGATCACTAGAAATTGTATCATGAGAGAACCATAGTTGTGATCTCGGTGAACCTCCTGTAAGATACCTCTTTGCACATATATATAAATGCATTATGCATATTCAATTTTACTTACATAGGATTGCTGTGCACATGTTATTTTTTGACTGGCCCCTCTCATTCATCACTATTTCATGGATAACACCTCATGCAACAAATATAGATCCACAACATGCCTTTTAAAGATCGCTCAGTACTCTGTTGTATGGTTGTACCACACTTAAATAATTCCATTTATGGGCATTTTGCTTACATTTATTTTTATTTATTATTATAAACAGTGCCTGCCTCAGCAAATAGCCTTCTGCAGATATATTTTCTTACTTGTGCAATTATCTCTTCAAAGTAAATACTTTTTCCCCACCACATGGGTTGAGCTGGGTTTCATGCCACCCACAAAATTCATGCTTTTTCTACTGCTTTATATGTTGCCCAAAGACTCAAGTGGCTTCAGCTATTAAATTCTGCGAGTTTATATGTTTATGAACATTGGCAGTGGGGGAAGAAGTCACAAAACAAAGAGGCCCTCTTTTCAGCTCTGCTCCAGTAAGCAGGACCTTTTTCACTTTGTGGCAGAATAAATGCAAATAAATCAGCTGTCAGAAATTAGTAGTTTATATAATTTGATTAAAATTAGAGTTCAACACTAACTTTGATGGAATCAGATTCTCTTCTAAGTATTGTTGATCTTGACACTAAATGTGGCCAAATTATTTAGAGGAACATTATTCTCCCAGTATTTACAACTCAGAAAGATGTATGCCAAGAATCCTCTTTGGTATATCTGTTTTCCCAAGATATTTTGGGCCAAGATTTGAAAACTCAAGAAATCTATATACATATGTTTGGGTACATGTTCTTAAATAAACCAAATGTTTCCTTGTTTCAACTTTTAACATGCTTAGTTTTTCTATACAGTTTATGGAAATCTAATTGAGAGTTCTGATAAATCACTGTTTTTTTATGGGAGGGGTGGGAAACAAAGCTTTTGTTTAATGCCTTAGCAAAGAACCTTCTGACTGTTTAAACAAAACTGCCTTACTTATATGTTGCCCAAAGACTCAAGGGCTAAAGTAGTCTCCACTATTAAATTTTGTGAGTTTATTATAGACTAGTTTTTTTTTTTTTTTTTGGTCATGGTGGGGGTGAGCATGAGATGTTAAAATAAAAACACCTCCTTACCTGTAACTAAGATGCAAGTGAAAAAAGCATTTTGCTATGGCAATTTGTTACAGGCTTTTATTAGCCAATTTGGCTTCCAATATTACATGGAAATAATTAAGCTTCAATTTTTTAAAATAGTCAATTAAATGTTTTAGTGTTATTACTATTCTAGAATAAACTAATTAACAGTTGGAACACTACTGATTTTGCTATTTACAATAGTTTATTTTTCTCCTGGGTCCACGTGATGAAGTTATGTTTATGATTATGGGACTCAAACTGGACCAGCATCACTTTTCCTCCTCTCCTCCTTCCCTCTTCTTAGGCGACTGCTCCACTTCCCCACTATGATCAGGCCTGCTTGGGGAGGTCTTCTGCTCCCATCATAGACTGAGCTTCTGCTCAGCTCAGAGATAACTTGAGAGGAAGGAGATTTGCCCTTCCAGTGGGAAGCTTCTTCAGTCAAAGTTGCATAATCTGCATAATGATCACTCTTCTTTTTGATCACAAACATTAGCCTTGCTCTTTCAGTTTGGTAGTTTTCCTCAGTCAAGGGCCTTATATCACCTTCCTCTGGGACTGGGTTGCCATTTTTATCGGTGTGTCAGAACCCCATCACACCGTAACCCAAGTATGGCAGGATACATGTTCTCTGCTCTTCCTGTATCAGGGCCAGTTTCCTACATTCCTGCTGGAGAGGTCCTCACCATGATATTCCTGAAACAGGCCGATAGTTCTCAAATCCTCTTCATGACTAGGGGGCTAAAATTCTCTAGGACCTTGGGCAAGTTACTTAGCCTCTGTGTGCCTCAATTTCTTAGTTTGTATAATGGAGATAATGAAAGCAACCACCTCAAGGGGTTGCTGTGAGGATTAAATAAGTTAATATTTGTGAAGCACTTAGAGCAGTGCCTTGGTGGTAGGAAGGGCCATACGAAGGGTTAGAATTAGAAATACCACCAAAATTCTGAGATCTCAGAATTATTGAAGCTGAAATTCTGTTCTATGGTCACATCCCACTGTGACCTTGATTGCTTAAGCATAATTAATACATTTTATTCTAAAATATCCCTATTTTGGAACACTAATTTGATCAACATAAGGGTCTTTTAAATGGATATATAAAAGGGACTGTATATTAAAGTAGGAATATGTAAATACAATATATTCTATACTTTTTAAAATTTTGCCATTTGATTGTCAAGACAAATTTATTTAAAAGTTATTGGTCAGTGTGTTTCTAAGAGTCTTGAAGATCTCATGGGCTAGAATATAGTTTCATTCATGCACACATATATCCACAAACATATAATTGTTCCTATCTCTTAGACAACATTTTCTCTAGCTCCCCATGTACTATTTTGTATTTTCCTTTGTTTTCCAATCATTAGTTCAACAAATAATCTGATGTGAAAAACATGCTGTGCCAATAAAACCTCAAATCCCCAACAAACCATTATGATAGTCTTATGTTATTTCGAACAGAGAAGCAGGGGCTGCAAATAAACAGCCTTGCTTACATCACAACTATAAACAAATCAACTGGGATGGCAAACTGACACACATGAATTAAACGGTATCTCTCCCTTCCTTCACTGTTAGCACTATACCTGTACAAGTGTGATGTCTTAGTCTTCTCTAGCTGTTATGACAAATCACCACAATCTTAGGGGCTTAAAAACAACACAAATTTATTATCTTCCAGTTCTGGAGGCCATAGGGCTGTGTTGCTTTTTGGAGGCTTTTGAGGAGAATCTGTTTCCTTGCCTTTTCTAACTTCTAGAAGCCTCCCTCATTCCTTGCCCCATGACTTCCTTCCTCTGTCATCAAAGCCAGCAGCACAGCATCTTCAAATCTCTCTCTCTCTGACTCTTTCTTTCTGCCTCCTTCTTTCCTTTGTAAGGACCCTTGTGATTACATTGGCCCAAGCAGATAATCCAGGATAATGTTTTCAGTTCAAGATGCTTAACTTAATCACACTTGCAAAGTCCCTTTTGTAATGTAAGGTCACATGTTCACAGCTTCAGGGGATTAAGACATGGACAATGTTGGAGGGGTGCATTATTGTGCCTACCACAGATATGCTCCTGAATAAGACCTTGAATACCATCCAGTCTTTTGGCTCTCCCTACCTGACTTTTGTATGAGTTTGCAGATAGGAACTGTGATAAATTCCTACCAGTTATTATGGTACCTTTCTTTCCCTCTCCTCACAAGTCTTTCCAAGTCAGATAGCTGTTAGTGTTTACTTAAATGATGAATATAGTCTGGAGTGTTGTGGGAAAGTATTTAATGAGGAAGACACCCCCACTCTTTGTGTCTGTCCTTGACAGCCACATGAAGAAAAGTAAAACTTGACCCTCAAAGTACATCGGTAAAGAATTACATGATGCCAAACTATGACATGGGTCTTTGAAGCCATTTGAGAAAATGGATATGATTTGGTCCTTACGATTTTTCCTGGGGGAAATGTGAGAGTCTGAATTAGCAAATTCAAAGGGAGCCAGAGAGAGATCTTGATGACAAGGCCAGTGGCTTCCCGGGTTCTGCATTTCCAGCCCTGAGCACAGTGTTGGGCATGTCGGAGACGATTACTAAATGATTAGTGGATAAATGACTTACCAAAAGTATCCAAGGAACAGCTTAAGCCCTGGGAAAGATCTGGCCTTTGAAATGTGACCTGCAAAACAAAATAATGGGTTTAATATCCTCAGGAAAGAGGCACCATCACATTCAGTTTTGTTTCTAACTGCTGACTCACACAGCCATTCCTCATTGATTACTGCTCCGTTGATGTAAAAGAAAACAAACCACTGGTATCACTCTCCTCTGTCCTTATATGAAAGAAGAAATAGCAGAACTGCTTCTACGTTTATTTTGCTCACACATTCCTATTGTTTAAATCACAATTTTCAAATTCATTTCTAGCTTAGTGGATTGATTTTTTATTACTCGTGCTGAGCAGTTGACAGTAATGATTTATTACATCTCTGGGATTTTGGCAGCTCCTTACCACCACTCATGGTTTAATTCACAGGTTTCCCTGATGGCTTTAGGGTCTGTGGTGTTTGCTCCTGTAAAGTGTTGCACCACTGGGAGATGTGTACCCCCGGCCCTGCACTCTGGCCTCAGTTTTCTTTTCTCCTTGCTCTGTGACTGTGTTGACTGGAAGGAGAGAGCGCATTCATGAACAGGGGAAACCTGATGTTTTCTCCTCTCCTAAGAACTGCAGCTATTGTAGCTTTGTGCTACGTGCTGGAGGCTGGTCCACTTGAAAGGAGGCCAAGGGTGGAGCCGAGAGATAAGGGTAAATGCACATATCTTAGGGAGATGGGCTACTTTTTAGGCTTCATAACAATGACAACAAACATAATAACCCTCTGTGCTAACCATGTAGCATGTATTAGTACAGGCATTGGTGAATTATACCCTGTGGGCCACATTTGGGCTACTACCTGTTTGTGTAAATAAAGTTTTATTGGAACATAGTCACATCCATTCATTTACCTAATGTCTATGGCTGCCTTTGTGCTGCAATGGCAGAGCTGAGTAGTCGCAGAGAGATCATATGACCTATAAAGCCAAAATTATAAGCCCTTTTCAGAAAATATTTTCTGACCCTTAATCTTCATAATATGAAATAGGCTTTGGTAATATCAACGCCAGTTTACAGAGGAGGAAATAGACACACTGAGATGATAAATAACATGCCCAAAGTCTTACAGCTAGTATGAGGTGCAGAGACTGAGTCAGAAGCCAACAGGTCTATAACATACTGCCTCGGATAGTTACTCAGAGAATGCAGTCATTACCAAACCTGCCACATTACCGTGTCTGTCCTATTTCTTGAAATCCTCACAGGGTTTGGCTTTATGAAATCTTTCCAGATAATTGTCCATTGTCTAATGGCTTTGTGGGACTTTTAGGTTTTTTAATTAAAAATGTGTGGGATTTTTAACTTTTTAAAACTCAGAACTGCCTATTAACTGTTTGAACCCTTTGTGTAGACTAGCGGTTCTCATCCTCAGCTACACAGTGGCGTCACTTGAGGAACTCTAAAGGTATTGCCACTGGGTCCCATTGCTTCCAAGTCATGATTTCATTGGTTTGGGATACAGTCTGGGTATGATGCTTTTTCAAAAGCATCAAGAGATTCTGTTGTGCAGCCAGAATTGAGAACTACTAGAACAGACAATTGTAAGTCTCACCCTAAAAGATATGAGAAGTCTTTCCTAGTGAGTCAACAATCAATACAAAATGAAGGAAGAGGCCAGGTGCGGTGGTTCACGCCTGTAATCCTAGCACTTTGGGAGGCCAAGGCAGGCAGATCACTTGAGGCCAGGAGTTCGAGACTAGCCTGGCCAACATGGAGAAATCCCATCACTATTAAAATACAAAAATTAGTTGGACATGGTGGCACATGCCTGTAGTCCCAGTTACTCCGGAGGTTGAGGCAGGAGAATCACTTGAGCCTGGGAGGCAGAGGCAGAGGTTGCAGTGAGCTAACACTGCACCTCTGCACTTCAGCCTGGGCGCAACAGGGTAAGACTCCATCTGAAAAAAAGAAAAAAGAAAAAAAAAAAAAAAAAAAAAGGAAAAAGGAAAAGAAAAAGAAAAAAAGGAAGGAAAAAGGGACAAACAAGTCTTTAGAAACAGGGGCCCATTGTAAACATGTTACAAGTTGGTGAGCCTGATGCAAGAAATATTCCACAGTACTAAGAATAAAAAGAAATAAACTGAATAAAATATATAGTAAGAAAAGATGTTAAGGCTGCAGTGAGCCATGTTTGCACCACTGCACTCCAGCTTAGGTGACAAAGCGAGACTCTGTCTCAAAAAAAAACACCCAAGAAAATAGCAATTATGCAAATTAAAAACACATGCACATAATACAAGACACATTTTGTGATGATAAAGAAAATTGTGTTACTTCCTAGACTTAATCTTCTTATTTGGGCATAATTATACTGACTTTTTTTGCTTAGGGTGAGAGGAGACACTCAATTGGAAAGAAAGAGTGGAAAAATTGAACATCCTCCTTTAAAAGGCTACATATGGCTTATGCATTCATTTAAAAACTGCAGTCTATTTCTTCTGCAAAACGTATACTTTGAATTTCTCTCTGTTTTAACCTTTACTGAAGGGCAAATTAAATCAGGGCTGATTTAGATTCAAAGAGTTTGTTAACTGACGCCTGCCTCAAGGAATGACATCATAATTACCAGCAAATATTGAGTAAGTCCTCGCAGGGGACTGTGTGGCACTGTGCTAGTTCTTCATCTCTCAGAAAACGCACCTTCATTGCAGTGCCCGGAAAAACATCATCACAGCTGAAATTCCAAATAAATATCTCACTCCTCAGATTCTTTCCACTGTTTCTATTTGCACTGATGATGGAGCCAATGTTGTTAAAACAGCGTGAGACTGAACATTTACCCATGAGCCGAGTTCCACAAGCTGTCTGTACCGGCTGGTACATCATTCCAGTAAGAAGAGTGAAATTATTAAACATCACAGAGAGGTTTACAAGATTTTTCGGAACTATCAAAGGTCACATGTGTTTTCTTGGAGACTTCAAGAGAGAAGTGGGGTATGTACATAAAATATCTGAGACACTGAGCAGGTTTATGTCTGTGCAAAAGGGGCTCCCTGTTTTCCTTTCTTAGGCATGACTGTCAAAGGAGCACAAGCATTTCTCTGTGCTCTGGCTCGGGCAAAGGAAATGTATGTTTAAGACTTGGAACATGGGAGATTTATGGGATGTTAATGTGTCAAGTCTTAGTAACCTCTCAAGAAGGCCACTTGTGAAGTCAGACTGTCATCAGTCACAGAAACCAATGCATCTGTCTTCTGAGAAATTCCTCAGAAATGTCTTCCAGAAAGATTATGAAAGATGAAAAATCTCAATACAGTAAAAAGGTATTCTATAAATGTGAATTTTTGCTGCTTCTGGCAAGTTCTGAGTATTCCCTCAACTGAGAAATGACACAATGATACATGCATAGAATCCACTGAAGAAAATACTGAAACTGATTAAAGGCAGCTATACAAGGATCAATTATTGCATATTTATGAAACTTATCCCTCAAAATATGACTATACAAAGTGCATTCAAAACACACTCACACAACAGCATGATACAGACTTGCCCTGAGCTAAAATTAGATAATGCTTCCTAAAGTCAACCCAGAAAAGCAACCTGACTATAGTATAATATGAAAGTGCTTTAATGATGACATCACGGGCAAGTTCATACAATGTGAATGGAAAAGGATATAACAAAATGTTCAGTCTAATGGTAAATGGGCATCTGGGACATTGGCATGTTTTGCATGTCAGGCATAATCAATATTTAAGGTTGGGACATGTTTTCTTCTTACACGGACATAGTAAATGAAATAGATATCTCAGCTCATATAGGCTGCTTTCACTGAATCCGACGACCTGTGACCAACAGTTTTTTAAGTAACAGAATAAAAACCCAGAGAAAGTAGAGAGCAAATTTTCTGCTGCTGACCATCTGTTGCTTGATTAGATTCCTTTAACATCAGCAGAAAGTTGTGATTTTGACAGTCACTGACATTTCCCATTAAGCCTAATGTGCATAATAGGCCTGAACAATATATATTTGCATGGCATATCAGAAAAATAGGTACATACAACAATGGGACAGAATAGATAACCCAGAAATAAACCCAAATACCTACAGCCAACTGATCTTCCACAAAGCAAACAAAAACATAAAGTGGGTAAAGGACACTCTAGTCAACAAATGGTGCTGGGATAATTGGCAAGATACATGTAGAAGAATGAAACTGGATCCTCATCTCTCACCTTATACAAAAATCAACTCAAGATGGATCAAAGACTTACATCTAAGACCTGAAGCCATTAAGATTCTAGAAGATAACACTGGAAAACCCCTTCTAGACACTGGCTTAGGCAAAGACTTCATGACCAAGAACCCAAAAGCAAATGCAACAAAAACAAAGATAAACAGATGGGAATTAATTAAAGTAAAAAGCTTCTGCACAGCAAAAGAAACAATCAGCAGGGTGGGCGCAGTGGCTCACACCTGTAATCCCAGCACTTTGGGAGGCAAAGGCAGGCAGATCACCTTAAGTCAGTAGTTTCAGACCAGCCTGGCCAACATGGCAAAAAACCCTCCCTACTAAAAATACAAAAATTAGCCAGGCACGATGGTGAGCACCTGTAATCCCAGCTACTCAGGAAGCTGAGGCAGGAGAATTGCTTGAACCAGGGAGGTAGAGGTTGCAGTGAGCCAAGATTGCACCATTGCAATCCAGCCTGGGTGACAGAGCAATACTGTGTCCCAAACAAACAAAAAATCAACAGAGTAAACAACCCATAGAGTGGAAGAAAATCTTCTCAATCTATATATCCAACAAAGGACTAGTATCTAGACTCTACAAGGACCTCAAACAAAGCAGCAAGAAAAAAACAATCCCATCAAAAGGTGGGCTAAGAACATGAATAGACAATTCTCAAAACAAGATATACAAATAGCCAACAAACATATGAAAAAAAAAAGTTCAACATCACTAATGATCAGGCAAATGCAAATCAAAACCACAATATGATACCACCTTACTTCTACAAGAATGGCCATGATCAAAAAATCAAAAAGTGATAGATGTTGGCAGGGATATGATGAAAAGG